ACATATCGTCCCAGTAAATAATGTATTGTGACGACAAGAAGTTGAAATATTGAAGGGAGTGTTGAATGTAAACGTGGCCTAATCTCTTCACGGTATGATCATTTGTGTGTGAATCATTTCATCATGGTATATATTTCATGCCAGAGGAGGTTGTGAAACTAGTTGTGTAGCTAAGTGTCTGCAATGCACATTGCACGGCCTTTCTGTGGCTAAAAGGTTAAAGACACTAGGTTAGATATTTATTAAAACACCAATTGACTGAGAATATATTTCCACAATCAATTTAATGCATTTTTGCTTAAAATATAAATCCATTGTTTACCAAACCGATAAACTCCATGTCTAAAAACGCATTGAACATGATCGGTGATGTATAGTATTAACCACCCTATGTTAAGTTATATTCATATACTAGAAAAACAAACCTATCTAATTTATCCTAGGCCTATAAAATATGAACTGTTCGGTGTACATATAAGGTGGCCTGAAATGTTTTGAAGCAGTTTCGTGCAACACAAAAAAACCCAGACCCTTTCAAAGTCTCTGTATGCCCCCTATCTGTGGATGGCTGAACCATCAGCCTAGTTTCAGAAGGCCTCATCCCGCAGATTTCCATAAGTACAGCTCATGCAAACTCTTCCTTATAAAGAGGTGTTTAGATTTAATAAGTCGTAAAAGGATTTGACACGAAGACGCTCTACTCGGGTGTGGCGATTGCTTTTTTTTTTTACTGTGAAATTATGTGTTTTCACTACCGTCTTATGAGAAGGTGCAGTTGTTGTCCTCTTGTTACATGAATATTACAACATAAATCAGCATTATTTTCAACTAGAATTTCAATGCAGCTTAGACGAGCCTATTGTACAAACCTGGAATAGATGTGGCGTTTTGTGTAAATTCATCGCTGTGCGTTTGTCTCAATATACAGTGAATTTTAATCGAGGGAATATTACTTTCAAGCTAAATAGGGATTAAAGGTTTATTACAGACATATAACGCATGGGCACTTCAACTCGCTTGTATAAACAACCCATGAAGAAATCCCCCAATAAAATCTCCACTGACGTCCAGGAAGAACCAGTTGGGGGACTCTATATAATGAAATGTCGTTCGACAAACTTCAGGTTATGGTGTAGTAATGAGTTTGTTGGATGGCCGAATAGGCTTCAGTCGGATACAATTCAGTGTGTCTTATATGCTACCAAACAGTAGGTCATCGAGGAATCATCTGTTGTCATTCGAAGTCATTTCAGTGCGTATTGAGAGTCACAAAGCCGAACAACTTAATGCAAGCATTTTTTCAGGGCTTCTCCATCCTCTGTTAAGCAGTAACAATAATTTGGAATACATATATTAGGATGTATAGGTTGGATGCATAAAATCGGAGAGAGATCTTTTGCTTCATATGGTTGTTTATTTTATCCCGTAGGTTTGAAGGAAAACGTTTAACCCAAGTGAGATTTTTCTTGAACGCCACCAATCATTATACAGATAGAGTGAATGACAATATGAAGGCACTTGAATAATACATTTTACATCCGTTCGGGAAATTCTCTCTTGATTCGTTAAGATTTACGTACGTATTTGGATATATTTCTAGGTGAATTTGCATAGCTCGTATATTGATGCACTTTGTACTTATGCATATTTGAATTTTGATGATACAGCTAAGACAGGTAAAGCTGTTATAATAGTACATATAGAGGGGCAGTTAAAGTGCCCCAAATACAGGGGGCTCCAATGTCGACACAACAACACAAACTTTACATCAGTATTCATTGTATATCCTCATATACTTATTTAACTTCAGTCAAGACAGCTGCCAATTTTCAAGATTGCTGCCATTTATCACCCTCTTATTTTGTAAAATTATGACCCAGTATGTCTTATAATTGCCAACTTACGGCTGTCAGAGTGTTATTTCTGGCGTTCCTTACCCGCTGAGACGAGACTGATTTTAATACCTTGAAACCTCTGAGATAACTGTGTTAATCATTTCAGGGTTATGTCATTGACCATGTCACCATCAGTTACGGCTTGTATTGCTTTTATTAGACAGTGATCTGAAGTAACAGTTGATTTGGCGCACGAACCTCTCAACAAGATAGAAGGTCACGTTAAGAACCCAAGTTGTTTTTTCCAATCTGTATTATTATGTCAACACAATGACGATCTGAGTCTGAAATATGAACACAAAATTGATAATGGTGACAAAATAATAACATTAATCGCTTTTTCTGAAATGAACAAAAATATCCTCCACTAGAATTGCAAAGTCCGCCAATATATTTAAAAAATATTACTTGTATAAAAGTAATGCCGAATAAAATAATTACGGATAATGAGTTTATTAATTGTACACTAAATGCACGGTTTCCTAAAAACTATCTCCACAATTATCAATTGTCAATAACCTTTTTTCAGTATATCAGGAGGTACACAAACCTTTTATTGAGTGCATATATACGGTGACTATCGACGTCTGGTCAAAGAATATCTTCCAACTCGGTGCATTTTGGATCATTACTTATGACAATTGTTATGATCAACAATATGTTTTTCATTTTGCTACCTATATTGATACTATTCATGAAACTAGTTTATTACATATTCTCAACACATTGTTTTGATTTAGTGAATAATTTGATTCTGTTATTCCCACTTCATTGCGGCATTTATTCAACTTCATCACTGAGATAGTGAAACTCCAGAAAGTTCAAGGCGAACATGTCAATAAAATCAAAACCTGCATTATTCTTGAAGTGAAATATCGTGTTCGACTAAATGTTAGTTCTTCTGTAAAGAGGGACTGCCTTTTTGTGGCAACTATTTATGAAGTATTGCTGGACTATCCGCATTTGTTCCTTATCTCCAATCTGAAAGTGGAGAACAGCTACAGTTCGTTTGAGTCAGAAACGGACCGATGAATTGCAAATTTTATCATTGTACAAAATTGCCACATAAATATAAATAGTACACATGTTTATCATTTACTAATACCCAACAGCTTTCCTATATTTGACAATTTTCCGGACTCCACCAAAAAAGTTCTTTAAGAAACTATCATTAAAATTTTGACACAGTTCACAATTTGTTACGAGGGAGGAGTGCAGAGAAAGGGACAGCCAGGTGTTAGAGAAGCACGTGCACAAGTGCCCACCAAGTTATTGATTCATTAGCCTGTGCTGTGCCGTCTCCATCCTTTCTCGCACACCTGGCTGTCCCTTTCTCTGCACTCCCCCCTCGTAACAAATAGTAAACTTTGTCAAAATTTTAATGATGGTTTCTTAAAGAACGTTTTTGGTGGAGTCCGGAAAATTTTCAAATATCAGAAAGCTGTTGGGTATTAGTAAATAATAAACATGTGTACTATTTATATTTATGTGGCAACTTTGTACAATGATAAAATTTGCAATTCATCGGTCCGTTTCTGACTCAAACGGACTGTAGGTGAGATGCTGCTATATTTTTTCTCGTGACAGAACACAGTTGTTTTATTAGTGACGACCTCAATAACAGATGTTTATCTCTGACGTAATGGCAAACAGCCCGATGATAAACGATAGTCCACATTTCATGTGGTCATTGTGTGACCTCACCAATACCTCCTAAATCATGGTGTTTGGTTCCACAGTATATTTGGGTTGTCATCCTTATAACTGTTGATAGACTGGATCAAACTGGTAGTGTTCTCCCTGCATCTTTTGGGGCTCATACGCCTCAATAAACTGACGTGTTGTGACATCAAAACACGATGACTCACTCACTTACAAAACTATCCTGGAATGTCAGATGCAAATGGAGACAGCTGAGTGTATTATAGTATGGTTTCTACGTACATCACATATTGTATCATTTTGTAACACGAGGACTTGATACACCCACATCATGTTGTGACGTCCTCATCCCCCTCATCTCAGCCAAATATAGGAAATACACACATAAATTGGCAGTTCTGTTTGACAGAAAACATGGTTTATAGTAATAATTGGCGAGTTTTTTACAAAAATACAGAAACTACTTTATTCAGAGGCATTCCCATTTAATCCAGTAAAGTCCAAGCATGAAGTGCTTGTCTTTCGTTAGATGTGTCACTTGTACTAAAGCGTAAACGATACTGAAGCAAACATCGCGAAGTGCTTAGCCTTGGTTTTCGTTTCGGCGGAATAAGAAAGCCATATGAAAGATAAGGAAATCCAAACATCTAGTCGCTGACTTCTTGCTTCATCGACTGTTCACTGACAGGAAATTTATTTTATGGAAAACGGAAAGAATATAAACAAATACAAAATAAAAAGACACCAGCCCATGGCCAGACATCTGCACACGTGTTATTCAGGAAGACTGAATATGCTTCGTAAACAAAACTTGACAGACAACTATATCCCCATATCCCCACTTATTTCATGGAGCCGTTGGGGCCTCGAGTACAGGTCAACAGCGACCAGCTGGTCGGGAGAGGCGACCACATGGCTCGGCTGGTCAGTCTGGTGTGTCGTCGTACCCCCACAGCGTGGATTGAAGCTCACTACATCATTCTGGATTATCTGACGTCGGTGTTTGCGGACAGCAGTCATGTATCTTGTTGTCTTGGTAAATAATTTCAAATATGACCAAAATGATATTTGAAAAGTAACAGTATCAAGTCGGCTCTGCTTGGAGATGGAAGGTAGCAAGGTGATCTCTGTGTCGTACTCCAATATCCCAGATTTCTATTGAGGCACACATGTCATCTCTGTAGGTTCAACTACACGTCTGCAGGTAGGTGTATATATCAATGGGGATATATAGAAAGAGTGAACTTTATCTAGACTACCAGTGATAATGATTTAGTATAAAAATAACGAAATATTTCAAATGGATCTGTACGTGAAATTTAGGCTTTGACAGAATTGTGCTTGCTGACCGATTTCCTGGACAATTAAGGCCATTTTGTATGGTGATTCTAGATAGTGTGGTGACTCTAGATAGTATGGTGACTCTAGATAGAATGGTGACTCTAGATAGTATGGTGACTCTAGAAAGTATGGTGACTCTAGATAGTATGGTGATATTGTTAGCTCCTGCGACAAAACCTTATATGTTTACATGGAACTATGTGCCTGAATACATCTGGCTATGATGCATTGTTCATAGCACATCATTTGTTTTGATCATATGTTTCAAGCATTTCTAGGGACTAATTCCTGTTTTTGATACATTGTCAAGCAACCCCATTAACGTCTCACCCCCAAACTCCGCCGCAGAACAACAAATTGTCGGGCCTCACAAGCCAGAATGTTGAAAAGTATTGATTCTAAGTACAATTTATACCCCCTTTGGTGAATGAAGTTAAATAATCCAGAATTGGCCTTCTCCTTGGCGTATACATAAGTACTGGCGCTTCCCGGAGACGGCGACACAAGCATCAAGCGTCTGTCTGGCAGAGCCTCTAATACATTATACATTACTTCGTTACTGGAGAATGGTTGGGAATTGTTTGGGTTTTGTTTTGTTGGTCTCAAGTGACAGCTATCTTCTATGTACCAAGTATGATGATGGACTGTGTCCTATACATGAATATTTGAAGTGGAGTCTCAGTGGGGGGTGGAGGAATTATATGCCTTGTCTTCTAGTTTCTTTCTGAATATAGGTCAGATCCACTGACGCGACTGATTTGTCTTGTTGATGATAATGACGATGATGTTACGGGCGTTGATGGTTTCCACGCCTACCTGTCACATAATGATGGTCATGGTATCACAAGGCGTTCCGTGTCAACTGACCACAGATATGTTCTTGAGAAATGTTTGGACTGTGACGCTGAGTGCGGCTGAAAACAAACAAAACCAATCAGGGGGATTCAGTCTCCAGCTGTCACTATTTCATAATTATGTAAAATGTGCTGTATGTGCGCCCCCAGTACAGCCGATGAGTGACGCAGAGCTCTGTACATAACAATAAAAGATGGGATACAGCACCTCCAACTCTCTCCTTCATGTTATATATCCTGCAAATAAACAGGAGGCACCATAAAACCCCACTCGCCAACTCACCCACTGACTATATGTGTCAATCATTCGTAACAATACCAGAAGAAATTGAATAGTCATAGAAATATCTGTTTTACAGATGAAATACCTTTTATGGATACAACATTGACAGACTTAGTCACTCGTGTAGTTCTTAAGGCTGTTGTTGCCATGGCATAGTTTTGATGGATTTAACATGAAAAACTAACGTCAAAATCTGACGTTAACATGGATGAGTTGAATATAGCCTTGGCCGCTGTCAACGGCTAATGTGGTAACGCATGGTCGCTGATATGATGGTAAGACGGAGGTCCTGTGTGCCGCCGTGTCAGCTGGAAGTAGGGATATATGCAGGTTTTACTATGATGATATTCCAGCTATCTGAGGACCGTGACGAAGTAACTGGATACCCGGTGTCACATTTACCTAATCCCATAATTCCTTTCTTTTCACTTCGAGTTGATTCATGAGACTTGTTGTGATAACCGTATCTTGTATTCTAAACAAAATTCATCATAAGGTGTTGCATTGTCACACTTTTTAAAAATGAAACTGTAATCCATCGTCACGTGAAATGTATCTCGGGGTTAGCCGAGACTCAAATCACTTTAATTCTTCGTGACGTCAGCGACACCTAGTTTGTTGTGTCGCTGTAATGAGCTCTATTGTAACGAGTTTACACGGCCACCCGCACACTGACCTAGTTGCAGAGACAACGGATGTAACCTCTTGACCTCCACTGGCGGGCTTGATGTAACTGTTTCAAAGGGTAGTGATGGGCTAAGACGATACTCTTTTGTTACATATTCCAACGTAAACATACAATCAATTATCGGTATTCTTCAATGTGTTTACCCATTTAGAGGAAGGGGAGGCGCACAATCTCTTTTCCTAACGCCGTCGGCAGAATTCTTTCTAAGTGAACGTCACACGACCCTGGAACTGCCATCCATTGCTCAGGCCTCATTGTAGATGATTCCGCTAGTCACAGAAGTAGTTTATCAACCGGAAGCGGATGGTGACACATGCGCATTAGACTATCTTCCGTCCACATGATCTCTTAAGGTTGGATCTTCCAATTGAAATGTGACCTTTGGGCTATGTGTATAATGCCTGACTTGAGATATAGCGTAAGGAAGCAAATCCCTCGAGAGCTCAAGACAATACGCCCAATAAACTACAGTACGTCAAATTTAGTTTTTACACGCTTGACAACCAAGACAAGCCATGCAAGTATAAAGACGAAGTTACCAAAGGTACCCTTTGAACTGGCGGGCCTTTACAGGATCTTTATGTACTGATCGGATGCAGAGACGTGCTACATCTGGCTATTGTACTTCAGACATGAACATTGTGTGGCCATTGCGAGATAACTGGATATGTCACACACTGAGGGCATCACTGGGACAGATGCAGTAGCTTAAAATGACTTGAACCAGTGTTTATACCCAGAATTAAATTTAGAGAATGTTCATTATTTGATTAAATAATGCCCAAAAGTAAAACAATATTGAATACCCCCCATCCCACCCCACCCCACCCAAAAATAAAAATAAAATAAAAACAAACAAAACCGATCAATATCTTGTGAAACATACCATTTGAAGAAATACTCAGTATCAAAAAAAATTATCCAGAGCTTGGCCTTCGATTGATGTTACTGAGTTTTCGTGAAAAGGTTTTCAGGTTGTATACTTTTCATATCTCTAGTGGGTATTTGTAACCATCCCACGCTCTTGCTTGGTGCAGAGACTATTTCTCAATGATAAACTCCATAAACTGATGACAAGGGTACTGCATGAAGATGGCTCGAACCAGTTAATGCACACACACAGCACATGCCCGACTTGTGGTCTATGTTGATTCTGCAGACTGACAAAACTGACGTTTGGTCGTAATGCTGCCTCTCACACTCAGGTAGATGATCTACTAGCTGTGTCTGCGTTGTATATGGCGGATTAATGTACTTTGGACCTTGTATTTCCCGTGATTCCCATGTATGTGGACTCTACTGAGTTATGCTTACTTTCTGCCATGTTCCGGATTGTGTTGACGAGTCTGTATATGTGTTGTTCTTGTCACTAAGGACATCAAACGATAAACAAGAATATTCACTTAAACATTATACATTTATATATGACGCCCTGTATAATCTATCTACTCTGAAAGCCTTCATATGCTCTGTGGAAGAGGATGTTGGTCATGGGGGTTGACAGGAACCTTTTGACATCCTTGGATCTATTTGAGTGCCACTGCAAGCTCCTCCACAGAGTAGCTCCAGCTCAACTTAAGGTTCTTTCCATGCTTTGTGGTCTCGCCTAGTGGCACCACTATGTCGTGCATGACGTAATTTTCCCCAAGTTGGTAAAACGTTGTGAGTTCTTGTCAGTCGATTGGAACCAGACTATGAAGTGAAGACACACACCAACACCATGTACATGATGCTCTGTCTCGGTGTTGGCCAGTGTGTGTCTTCTGAGGACCGGTGTTAAGTGGTCGCACATTCCTCATCTTGTCATGAGCTTGGCAACTGTATTATGAACGCTCCGAAGCCGGTCCAGATGAATTTGCAATGTTGCAATAGTTTTCTTGCAAGATTTCTTGCGCGACTGCAGGTTGAAAATTACTCACCCCAACCCAATTTTACAGCAGCTGAAAAAAATGGCTATGGATGTGATGTGAGTTATGATATAGCATCATTTGTAACACCGATCACTGAATCCAGCGTCTTGAGGAGAGTTATGATATAGCATCATTTGTAACACCGATCACTGAATCCAGCGTCTTGAGGAGAGTTTTGTCTGGACAACGGTTCATAGTGACTGAATGTTTGTGCGTGTTCAATCTGTATCTGGTGGCGACTGGTTGCTCTGTTCGGTATCGGAAGTGACTGTTGACGTTGACTGTAACGAAAGTACCTGTGATTGTGTGGTTTCAGGTCGAGAATCGCTTACATAGGGTAGCAGAAACGGCCCTGCATATAGTCCATGAAGGATTATCATGGCAAACTGTCAAGATTGAAATGACCGCCAAAAATTCAAGAAGCAAAAAATGTATAGTCAGTTTCATTTCCATTGTTGAACCGTTTTTAAAAAAAAAAATTAATGTAAGGATGAGAACAATTAACAGATCTAATCACCTATGCTCGAACTAATTACCAGAACACTTGACTTCATAACTGTCACCTCAATTATAAATGACGGTTGATTGCGGCAGCTCGACCTCCTGTCCGCCTCAGCGACTCAGGACTCCACGAGAGGACTCCAGAAGATGACTAGTGGTATTGGAAGACTGGCTGTCCATGGGAAAGTTGGTTCATCGAATGCTATTGATGGGCCCGCTGTGACAGCCACACAAAGCCAGTCAATATAGCCCCTCAATGCATATTTGCCATCAGATAAACTTCCAGCAGAATCACCTCACTGCACGCCAGCCTCCGAGCTCCTCCGGTGAATCACGTGTGTAATTCTGTTTCCTCCGTGGTTTACCGGTATCGATGTTACACGGACCACCAGCAAAATATTGTCGTCTGCTATTTTACGCGTGCGTGTTGCATGAACCATAGCAGACGATAAGCCCGTCAGTTCCTGAGCTACATGGAAAGCCTCTATGGGGCATAGACAAGGATGGTCTCAATCTTCGTGTTCCATTAAAACGAGCGTCAACCAAACCGGAAAGCATGTACGTGTTTTCATAATACATATAACAATGTTCTCACCCTGATGATGAGCGGAGGGGAGACATAAATGGAAGGAGGTCTCATCGCGGGTGATGGTGCTAAAACCAATAACAGACGAGGTAGGATGAACGTGGAGGTATAGAGAGAAGGGCTAGGTACAGTACAACCAGAAATTATTGAGAATTTAAAGATTGTAATGTTTTATATTTTTTTCACTCATTACTCACGTATTAAATGTGAATAGTAGCAGAACATAACTCCAGATTCAAACACAGGTGAACAGTTAGTATTTTGTCAAGTCACCATGGGCAGCAATGCAGGCTTCAATGCGGCGGGGCAAAGAAGTTAGAAAGTCGTGGTCCATGCTGTCCCAATATCGGACCTTTTGTCATTTCAGCAATATTTGTCAGATTTTTCTTATTGACACTTTCCTTCATAAGTCCCCAAACATTTTCTATTGGATTTAGGTCAGGGCTATAGCTCGGCCAATCTAATAATGTCATAGTTTGGGTCCGAAACCAGGCCTGTGAATGCTTTGAACGATGTTTTGGGTCGTTGTCCTGCTGGAAAATCAAAAAGATTCCATAGAACACGTGAGCAGATGGAAGTAAGTGTCCCTCGAGAATATCTGTGTACCGCTCACTGTTCATATTCCCTTCAAATACACAGAGGGGCGTTGCCCTTAACACAGATATGCCACCCCACACGTTAAATTTCGGACTGTACTTTGGGCGCTGATAAAAAGGGTTTTCAGTTTGTTTGGTCCAGAATTTCAGTGTATTAGGAAACAGCCACACGGAACTTTCATCTGAGAAAATCACATTGTCCCAGTTAAAGTTTCTATGATGTAAGCACCAGTTCAACCTTCGCTCCTTTTGTTCAAGTTTCATGATCGGTGATGGAATTCCTCGACTTTTCTGCCAACCCATTGCATGCAGCTCAGTTCTTGTCACCTTACAGACAGCCAAAGTTCCTCTATCAATCATATCCAGCCTTAAGTTTCTAAACTCTTTCGTTTGTTTTTAGAAACAAGAATACCAAGCCGCCTCTGTCACCGACAGTCAATTTTCTAGGCCTACCTGCGCCTCCCTGGTGCTCAATGCCATATCCATTTGCAATATT